CTCTTATCTGTAATTAAACACCAAAAAACTGGAAGTGGGGCTGTGGCTAAATAATAGAGCGCCAGCCTTAAGCACAAAAGCTCAGAGATAACTCCCAGCTCTGAGTTCAAGCTGCAAGACTGGTGCACACACACACACACACACACACACACCCCTCATACAGACACACATGCACATGTAAATGTATATCCATGACACACATACCTATGTGCAGCCATGTGAAAACATGCATAACTACACATGCAAGCACATGTGCACATGCAAATATGCACACACATGGTGACACACGTGTGTATACATCTAAGTGCATGCACCATGCACACCTAGTCCCATCAAGTACAGTCAGTTAGAACCTCAGAACCAAGATCCTGCCGGAACCTAGAAAACTCACTGAATTTATGTCCTCAAACACCCAAGATGAGCTCCCAGCCCACTCTCCTGGAGCTTGGAGGACAGGCCTGGCCTTGGGCTGGGGGCCCAGGGATGAATGACGTGTAGAGGAGGAGCCCACCTACCCTGTCCAACCAGGAAGAAAATAAGCCACAAAATCAGATAAGCCCACATTATAAATTATGGTCATGGTCTCATGAAGGTGTCATGAAATGCACCCTACTCCTAGGGCTGTAATATTTCCGGATCACACCACTTAAAAATGTAAAAATGTGGGCTGGGAAGGTGGCTCAGTGGTAGAGTGCTTGCCTTGCATGCCTGAGGCCCTGGGTTCGATTCCTCAGCACCACATAAGCAAAAAGAAAAAAGCCAGAAGTGGCGCTGTGGCTCAAGTGGTAGAGCACTAGCCTTGAGCTGAAGAGCTGAGGGATAGTGCCCAGTCCCAGAGTTCAGGCCCCATGACTGGACCCAAAAAAAAAAGAAAGAAAATGTAAAAATGTGCTGGGCGCCGCCGGCTCACACCTGTCATCCTAGCTACTCAGGAGGCTGAGATCTGAGGATCACGGTTCAAAGCCAGCCCAGACAGGAAAGTAGTCTGTGAGACTTTTATCTCCAATGAACCACCAGAAAACTGGAAGTGGCACTGTGGCTCTAATGGTAGAGCGCTAGCCTTGAGCTGAAGAGCTCAGGGACAGTGCCCAGGCCCAGAGTTCAAGCCCCATGACCAACAACAACAAAAAAAGTAAAAATATGTCACTGAGCAAACCAGGAACTCTAGCCCTGGAGGGCAGGGGTGCCGAGCCGTGGAGGGCCGTGAGAGGCAATCACAGTCCAGTGAGTGCAGCGCAGGCCCTGTGTGGTGTGCACGTGCACGCGTGTGACGCATTGCATTGAGAATGTGTACTTTGTGGCTGCACACATGCATGTGCACCCGCTTGTATGGATTTGTGAGTACAGGTGTGCATTTGTGCATGTACAGGAGTGCATGGTGCACACACAATGCACACCAAGCATGTGTTTATGTGTATACATGTGTTCATCTGTGTTTATGTGTGTGCACATGTTAGGCATGTGTATGTTGCATGGATGGATGGATGGTGTGTGTGTGTGTGTGTGTGTGTGTGTGTGTGTGTGTGTAAAGCATATCCATCTGGTAGTTTCTCTGGGGAACCCGTGATGGTTTGGACTTGGGATGTCCTCAGAGGCACAAGGGTTAAAGGCTTGGTCCCCAGTGTGAGCTGTTGGGAGGGAGGGGGTGGAGCCCTTGGGGGTGAAGCCTGCTGGGAGTTGTAGGTTGGTGGGGACATGCCTTCCAAGCAGACTGTGGGATGCTGGACTCCCCCGCATGCTCCTTTTTGCTGTGAGGTGAGCGGCTGCCTCCTCCATGAGCTCTGTCCGCCACGCGCTGCCTTGACCCAGGCCCAAAGCGTGACCATGGCTCAGTGACCATGGCCTGAAGCTCCAGAGCTCTAAAGCAAAATCAGCCTTTCTCTTTCTCCCTCCCCGCCCCCCTCTCTTTCTTTTGTTGGTTGTGGGGTTTGAACTCAGGGCCTGGGTACCGACCCTGAGCTCTTTGGCTCAAGACTAGCAGCGCTCTACCACTTTGAGCCACAGCGCCGCTTCCAGTGTTTTCTGGGGGTTCATTGGAGGTTAGAATCTCTCCGGGACTTTTCAGCCCAGGTCAGCTTTGAACAGTGAGCCTCAGATCTTAGCCTCCTGAGTAGCTAGGATTACAGGCATGAGCCTGCTCTCGACTTCTGTTTACCAACGGATTCTCTCTTAGGTGTTTGTGACAGTAACAGAAGGCCGATGAGCACAAACCCTCACACATTGCCTGATGCGGTGATGTTAAGCCATCATGATTGGGCCCTCGAAGGCCTCCCCAACTTTGTCCCCAAGTCCCCAAACACCTGGGCCCTCAGTTTCATCGGTCTCCAGGCTCCCTGTACCTCAGGTACATCTGCTCTCTAGGGTACCCCAAGGCTGCTGCCCTTTGTAGAGATCTGTTCTGTGAGGTGTGGATTCTTCATGGAGCGCGGGGTGAGATTTCAGAACTCCTCCCCTGTCCTGGAAACTCCCTTCTGCGTTGCTCAAATCTCCTCTGCACCCTGCCCCCTCCTCCCAGCATAGAGTAGGCTCTTTGCCTCTTCACTCCATTCTCTGGAAGCTTCTGCAGGGCAGAGACCATGTCTGCTTCTTCACGGCTGTGACCTGTGTGTCAGTGTGGGGCCTGGCACTTAATCTTCAATCAACAAACATTTGCTAAATTAATGAAGGATCAATTCAGGATGATTAAAAAAAAATTAGTAGCTTGTATCTGGTCTCCCTCCCCCCCACTTCTCCCATCCTCTGGCCTTCACCTTTCCAGACTAGCAGGTGTTTCTGTGCCCAAGCCTCAAGGAAGGACTTGACAGGTGAACACGGAACAAAACAACCCAGGGCGGTAGAGCTTGGCCCTGAGAGAGCGGAGGCAGCGAAAACCATCAGAGAGGTCGAGGGACGGAGGAGACCGGAGGGCTGGGAGGAAATTGCTTCCTGGCTTCTCAGGCTTGAGAAGGCTTTTCTCAAACCCACCGTGGGAGGCGGTGAAAGAGTAATGCTTAAGCAAAGAAAAGCCTTCGAACCACCAGCTCTCAGAATACCCCTAAGGGCATCCACTGCTCCCAGAACGCCCCCATCAAGTGGATTAGGATGAAGTAAAAGGCTGCACCGGTTGCTTGGAACACACTAGATCCATCCTCATTCGCTCCCTGTCAAGCATTGCTGTAGAGTGTATACCCCACGCAACCGGTCCAGGGCAGCTCTGCGTAAGCCAGGCCAAGTCCTGGAGGAGGGGCCAAAGCTCAGATGGGTTCAGAGGCATAGGAACAAGGAGGAACCTGTGCCTCACATCTCAGGAACCCTCCAGAAGATCTGGGATGAGGCACCTCCCCTGTCCACCCAGGACACCAAACATTCAGACTGCCACACCCCTGAGTCCCCTAGGGTACCTCTAGAACTTTCCAAAGCCCACCGGGACTGAGGAAAACCTTAGATAAAACTGAGCTCAATTAACTATGGCTGCCCAGGTGCAAAGCAGGTGCAGCACGAAAGGCTCACAGCCAGGGAGAAGCTGGGCTCTACCACGCAGTTTGTTCAGCCAATGTGGAAGCAATGGCAACCCATTTCCCTTCATTTTCTTCTGTCTCTGTCTCTCCTGTGCGCATGCGTGCCCGCACATGCACGTGACACACACACACACACACACACTTTCCCCCAACAAAAATACCAACTGCCCAGGGCCAAACCCAATTCCACTTCTTCAGAGCATCCTCCAAGTCTAGAAGTTTCTCTGACAGCCAATAGGGTAACTAAGTACAAAACTGAAATTTCACCGGGCACCGGTGGCTCACACCTGTAATCCTAGCTATTCAGGAGGCTGAGATCTAAGGATGGAGGTTCAAAGCCAGCCCAGGCAAGAACATCCGTGAGACTCTTATCTCCAATAAACCACTAGAAAACTGGAAGTGGCACTGTGGCTCAAGTGGTAGAGCGCTTGCCTTGAGCTGAAGAGCACAGGGACAGTGCCCAAGCCCAGAGTTCAAGCCCCACGACTGACAAAAAAACAAACAAAAACCTGAAATTTCTCTCCAGGACCCAGGATCTCAGGGCTTCTCTGCCTTCTCCCCTTCCTTCCCCTCCCTCCTCCCTTCCTCCCTAGGCTTCTCCTCCTCCCCTCTCTTCTTCCCCCTTTCCCCTCCCCGCTCCTGCCCAGGCCCCTCCTGGAGCAGAAGGGCTCCCAAGGCTGGAGTGGAGGGGTGCAGATGGCCCCTCCAATGCAGGGGCCCCATAAACAGTGTATTAGGGTGTGAGCCATCTCCACCCAGCAGCTCTGCCCTGTTCCACCCACTTGCTGGCCCTGATCTTCTGGCCCTGTGACCACCATGGCTGTCGCCCCCTTGACCCACCGCGCTCTTCTGAGTTCCCACAGCCTGGGCACCGGGCACTGGTCTCTGTGTTGCCGAAGTCATTTGTCCTCACCCAACACGATGCTCCCTGGGACCCTGGTGGAGGCTCCTCCCTCCCTGTCCTGGTGCCCGGTGAGTGCCTGATGCTAGGTGGTGGCCTCAGGCTCTGGCCTCGTCCCCCTGAGTGGACGCTTCCCTGCTGTAAGGGACAGAAAGGCCAGGCAGAGACTGAGAAGTCACAGAGCCATTTATTAAAACAGGCAAGTCACCCCAAGACTTGCGAGTGTACTTGCTGCTTCCCGCTGGCCGTCCGCTCCCCTCCCACTGCCTGCGGCTGGCCCTGCAGCCCGCCTCTGCCAAAGGGACGGCGCGCTGTCTCCGGTGGGGCGAGGGGTCAGTGATGCTGGTGAGTGGCTGGGGTTGGGGGTGAAAGGTGAGGATGGGGGAGGGGCTGCTTTGAAGATCAGAAAGGCCCAGATTGGATTTAGTGAGTCAGGGCCATGCACCCCGGGCGGTGATGTGGTGGGGGGCCGGAAGCCCCCTGCCCTCCTCCTCTGCCCACCTCTGCTAAGCTAGGTCACTCTGCACACGCTACATGGCTACAAGACGTTCAGTCCCCTGGGCCTGGGCCTGGGGACCGCAGTGGGCCGGGCATGGCCGGGCCTAGCCCTGGAACCCCAGCTCCTTGTACTTGGCCGCGATGTCGTTCCGGAACAGCTCCAGAGCCTTGCTCATGGCGCCCTGGGCGTCGGTCCCGAAGTCCCCGGGGTACTTGCATTTCAGGACCTCGATGATGGCTTCAGAGATGAACTGCAGGGAGGGGACGAGAGGGGGACGGTCGGCATAAGGGACAAGCTCGGGCCAGCAGTGTGGTCTCCACAGCTCAGCTCCTTCAAACCCCACCACGCTGGGACACAGACACCGCCACCCTTGCTTTGCAGGTGGAGAAACTGAGGCATGGGGAAATGAAGCTGTGTGCTGAGGTCATGAGGCCTGGAAGGGGCATCTGGACCTGGGGGTGACTCTGGCACATGGCTCCTGTCCCCTGTCCTCCTGCCTTGTTGCCCAACTGCCACTGGGGGCTGGGGAATGGAGGAAAAGAAAGGGCCATGCCTCCAACATGGGCTGCAGAAAGGGGTGCTGTAGGTGCAGCTCTACCCAGGCTTCTGCAGTCAGGAAGTCTAGAAGGAAGCTTGCTTTAGTGTGTGTTTTCTTTATGTGGCTTTGGCTGGGTGGGACAGGGACCCTTTCTCTCTTGGGGCAGCAATGTGTGATGCACATCCGGGTGGCGGGAGAGGATGGGCGAAGGGGAAGGGAGGGGAGAGGAGGGGAAGGGCAGCCTCTGGAATGAGGGGGGGGGTGGTAGGGGCGGGTCCACAGCTCTACAGCCTAGGACTGCAGTGAAAGACCCGGATGTAAAAGGTCACTGGGCTGCTCCACCTTGAATCGGGATTTGGCCCCAGGCTGCCGCACCAAGGAGCAACACTTCAGCGAGGGAACAGGCAAGTGGCCAGCCCGAGGTCACAGAGCAGGGGGATGGCAGGGAACTGGCAGAGCCGGTGCCAGGGCGGGGGCGGGGGTGGGGTGAGCACCGGGGACGGCCACACAGCGTCCCCCGGATGCAGTGGGGTCCTGGGTGGACATCTGAAGACCGCTGAAGTCTGTCAAAGCCATTTCACCGGGGGGGTGGAGCTGAGCACGGCCCTTGGAGGGCGGGGTGTCTCCTGGCTCGGCTCCATCCCGCCCCGGGTGACTTCACTGCAAACCAGGGACTGAGAGGAGCGCACCGCCCCCCCGCCGGGTCTGCCCCGTGTCTGCAGCAGAGCCGCTGGCATCCAGACATCCGAAACAGAAGCCGCCCTCGCGCCTGCCACCCTCTGCGTCCTCTGTCTGGGCCTCCCTCTCATTTCAGTGTCCGGTGGCATGTGTGGGCCTTCCATAAAGAATGAAGGAGCCAGGCGCCCGCGGCTCACGCCTGTCATCCTAGCTACTCAGGAGGCTGAGATCCGAGGATTGCAGTTCAAAGCCAGCCCGGGCAGGAAAGTCTGTGAGACTCTTATCTCCAATGAACCACCAGAAAACCGGAAGTGGCGCTGTGGCTCAAGTGGTAGAGTGCTAACCTTGAGCTGAAGAGCACAGGACAGCACCCAGGCCCAGAGTTCAAGCCCCACGGCTTACAAAACAAAAAACAGAACACTCCACCCTTGCCAGGCCACAGTCTCCTCATCTGTGCAGTGAGTGGGTAGGAAAAGGCTGCTATTTGTGGGGAGGTTGGAAGTTGCATGCCGGATTTCCTGCCCCTTGTCCCCATGAGAACAGAAGACATGAAATCTGCCCTGCTGTTTGTGGTCTGGGGTCCCAGGAGGAGACAAAACAGGGGGCCAGCCCACCGAGCCGAGAGGAGGCAAGCTGAGACTTGAACCCCAAGTCCCTTGAAGCCCTTCCCGCCCTCTCCTGCCTGCCCTACCTCCAGGTATGCCATGGGGATCTTGTGCTTAGTGGCATGGGACTGGGCCAGGGGCTTGATCTCCGCCTCGTGCTGCCCCTTCTTCTTCAGGATGCCACCCAGAGCAGTGAGCACGGTGGTGCCGTGCTTCTTCAGGTCCTCGGACGCCTTCATCTCATCCTCCGACTTCAGGTTCTTGAACTTGTCGAACTTCTCCAGGGTCTCAGAGTGGTCTTTAAAGAGCCTGGGGGACAAAAGAGGGACTGGCGTGAGATGCGGGGATTGTGCAGCGGGGTCTGCAGGTGGCCAGACTCGGGGTCCGGTCCAGCTTCCCCTCCTTCCGGCTGTGTGACCGTGGACAATTCACTGCACCTTCCTGGGCCTGGGCTTCCTCATCTGAGAAATGAAGATGAATTGTCCCTCCCTAAAAGAGGAAGCGAGATCGTGTATGCTGCGTGCCGTCTGGAGGTGGGACACATGTCTTCGTGGTCACGGCCTCTGAGGGGCAGACGAAGGCGTCTCTGCTGGTGGCCTGGGCTTGCCCTGTTTTCTCCACATTTATCTGTGGAGTGCATCATGGTGTTTGGGGCACTGGGGCTGCGCAGCCCTGCATTGCTCGAACGCCCTCTGCTGTGCTCGGCCACCTTCTACCTCTCCCTTTAGCACCATTCGCTTGTCCCCATTTTACAGGAAGCCGGGGCTCAGGGGTGTGACGTCACCAGCAGGAGTCAGGGCTGTGTGAGAGGAGCTGGGTGGAGCAGCTCCAAAAGCAATCCTGGCCCGCGGGGCAGGCTGGGGCTGCAGCCTCCTGCCTCCTGCCCGATGCCTGTGACGGGCCCGTGCCACCTGCTGGGGGACCCCGGGGAGCCACAGGTGTGCCTGGCTGACACCACGAGCCTCAGTGACAAACACACTTGTCTGTGCCCTGAGCTACTGTGCCCAGGAGATGATCAGCAGGATCCCAGGCTCCTGTCTGTCTACTGCTCTGTCCTCCTGTCCTGTTGCCAGCCTGGCAGACTCTGTGGCTCCTCCCCCAACCCCGCTGCTGGCTCACCAGCCGGGCAGAAACCCTGCAAAGCATGCATGGAGCATCTGCGGGGCAGCCGGGCGGGATGGGCAGCCTGAGGCCAGTGCTCAGAGGCCCAGGCAGGAGGCTGTCAAGTTCCAGGCTTTATCACGGTCACAGCGAGACATTCACGCGCAACCTGAAATGGGCCGTCCCCAGTGTACGCATGCGTGCTGCACGGCTGCATGAGCACGTCCGGCCGTGAGGGAAGAGTCACGTAGGCAGGTGCGCATGTGCGTGGAGGGCGCGGGGTGACAGGCGCAGAGCCTCCCTCGGGGACGAGCTCTGTGCCCCTGCGGGGACGGCGGTGCCAGGGCCGTCCACAGCCGTGGCCACGTCCAAAGCCGCGTACGTCACAGACAGCTTGTCTCCGCCACCTTCATCCAAGGGTCCCTGAGCTCCTGACTATTATTATTGGGCGACAATGATCCCTGGATGCGTGCTGACAGATGGGAGACCTGGCACCCCGGGGCGAGGCCCAAGGTCAGGAAGCTGGAAGGAGACAGAGGCACAGGAGGGCCAAGGATCAGAGGCCCAAGGCACAGGGGGATCGTGGCTCCCTGGGGTCTAGGGTTATGAAGTTCTGGGCCCAGCTCTGGCTTCTGTGTGCTGTGTGACACTGAAGAAATCACACGCCCTTTCTGGGTCTTGACTCACACGTAAGTAAACCAAAAGGGCCGGGGTGGAGGCCTTGCCCCTGCTTCTCCAGAGGGAGCGCAGGCTCGCTGGCCAGCCATGGAGTCCCAGCCCCACCAGAGGCCCAGAGGCCCCAGCCCTATAGATGTAGTACCACACTGGGGAGGGGAAGGGGACTGGGGGGAGGGGGGCTGACTTCTGAATGGAGGCCAATGGGAAACCCAGTGGGACCCTGGACACTGATATAGAGCCACAGAAACCCTTTGGACTCTCTGGGAAAAGTCCACCCCCAGGGAGGTCCCATTGGGGCCGGCAATAGAAACCTCAGGAGCAGAGAGGCGCCATTCACACGGCCTGAACTTGAATCCCCAGCCCCCTCACACTGAGTGACTTAACCTCTCTGTTCAGCGTGGTGATGATGATGATGATGATGATGACGACAATACCTCCTAAGGTTTAAATGAGGTCCAGTGGAACCTTGCTGGGTGCCGGTGGCTCACACCTGAAATCCCACCTACTCAAGAGGCTAAGATCTGAGGATGGCGGTTCAAAGCCAGCCTGGGCAGGAAAGTCTGTGAGACTCTTATCTCCAGTTAAGCACCAGAAAACCCGAAGTGGTGCTATGGCTCAAGTTTTAGAGCACTTTGCCTTGAGCTGAAGAGCTCGGGGATAGCTAGCGCCCAGGCCCAGAGTTCAAACCCCATGACTGACAACAACAACAAAGGTAGATCAGGCAGACACCTGGAGCTGGCATGGGCTGGCTGATCATTGTGGGGCTCAGTGGTTATGGCCACCAGCGGCGGTTTGCAAACTTTCCTTAGCCTTGAAACCTTTAGACCCAACAGAAATGCACAAACCAATAAAGCAGAAAGGGTCTGGGCAGGCACTGTGAGGCAGGGCCCGCCCCCTCCCCGCACAGCCGCCCTCTGCCCGCCCCTCACCCTCTCCTCTGGTTAGTCAGGAGCTGCAGCCGCTGCCCAGTGTCTGGGCCGTGGCGGCCTGTGCCTGGTAGTGAGACTTCGGCGGTTCACGCTCACCATCATGTAGCAGAACACTCACTTTTGCTAAAAGGCAGGGCATTGGGGCAGTGACCTTGCCGAGGCCATCACGAAGGACAGGCTCAGCATCTAGACCAGACCAAGAGGGCAGCTCTGAGCCAGACACCCGTGGCTCACACCTGTCATCCCCTCTACTCAGGAGGCTGAGAGTTGAGGATCGTGGTTCAAAGCCAGCCTGGGCAGGAAAGTCCATGAGACTCTTATCTCCAATAAATAACTCAGAAACAGCTGGAAGTTGCTCTGCGCTGTGGCTCAAGGGGAAGAGCACTAGCCTTGAGCACAAAGAGGTTTGGGGATAGCGCCCAGGCTCTGAGTTCAAGCCCCAGGACTGGCAAAAACGAAAAAAAAAAAAAACAAAAAACCAAGAGATCAGCTCCTGCCTGGAGTTAGCACCCAAGAGTAGACCCCAGAGGGGGCCCTGGAGGGGGGAGACCTCCCCCCACAGCTTGAGATACATGGCACCCCTTGGAACTTTCCGGAGCCCTCCGTCTTGGGCGGGCGTCACAGGCCCCTGGCAGCCTCGCTGCTCTGCCCGGGAGGGAGGGAACGTTGCCCGGAGGTTGCACAAGCCTCGGCCTTGAGGCGGGCAGGGCTGCTGCTCGGCCCAGTCCATCTTCCCCTCCCATGCAGTCCTGACTGCGTCCGCAGCACGGAGGATGAGCCGCCCAGCACCCGGGGCCTAGGCACGGGAGGCGGCCCGGATCTCACATCTCGGACAATGCCCCACGGAGGGCTGCTTGGTGGTGTGGCGGCCTGTCCCGGCCCCGGGGCCTCTAACAGGGAGGGTAGGGAAGAAGGTGGAGGGGAGCCGTCTAGGACACCAGCCAGACAACAGGAAGCTGGCTCTCCTTCCCGGATTCTGCCATGGAGCCCTGAGAGCTGTGATTCCAGATCACTTTGCCCCCCACCCACCCCCAAGCGGCCCCAGGGTGGATGGGACAGAGACAGGGCCCAGGGTAGACAGAAAGGACCAGGAGTCAGGATGAAGACTTGCTCTGCTCACAAATGGGGAGACACTGCTTTGCAAATGTGAACTTCAGGGACACACCGGGGGCAAGCCAGGGCCTGCTTCCCCCAGAAGCAGAGCCGCCGACCGCCACAGTCCAGTAGGCCCTCGGTCTGCGATCTGAGCTGCCCAGATGTGAGAGAAGGTTGGGGGCGGGGGGGGGGGGGGGAACCCGGCACCAGCATCCCCTACTCACAGTTTGGGATTTGGGGTGGGGGGAGGTCTATGCAGAACTCCTTTATAAGAAGTTTGGAGACCATTCAAGCTTTCAAATTGGAGACATACTCAATACCGCAGGTAGCAAATAGGCCTCTCAGCCCTTGGCTAATTACAGGGCTCAGCATTTGTAATAGTTAATGAATATTTCTAGAACTCATTGTATGTCAGTAACCAGACCTGCTCCTGCCAAACATATGTAATGCTCACTTCTACAGTTATTTTCCCTTCATTAGACAAGAAAGAAACCGAGGCTCAGAGAGGTTGAGAATCTTCCCCAAGGTCACATAGCTGCTCAGAAATAGAGCCAAACCTAGATACAGAGGGGCCTCATTTTGAAGACCATATCTTTTCAGCCTGGACATTTATAGACTTTAGTGGGCTTGTGGTTGGGGGGTGGTGGTGTCATTTCCTCTCTGAACCCTCAGTTAGGTGGCTAGATTACCTACAATTCCAAGCCTGGTGGGCTCCAGGCTTGCAGGGTCTGAACCTTAAGTTTCTTCCAGCTGTTGCTATTAGTCTGGGTGGAATCCTTTTCCTTTCCTGAATCCAATCCCTTTGTTCACAAGAAAAGGAACACAGCATAGGAAGTTTGAGCTTCCTCTGCCTGGGACAACTGGTCTACCTTTTCATTGAGCATCTGTGATCTTTGGGGTACTGTAGGTGAGTGGGACCCAGGGATCGCTTCCTTTTACCTGATGAGGACTTCCTGCCCATTGCCCGCCAGATCGGCCTCCACCTTCCCCCAGATGTTCAGCACCAGCTGCCACTCCCCGTCGCTGAGCCCCATGATGGTGTCTGAGGAAGGCAAGAAGAGCGATGTGGGTTGACGGTGTCCGGGCCAGGCAACCAGGGTTTGAAGCTGCCAGGTCCAAAGGTGTTTTTATACCCTCCTGGATGCTGGCGGCAGATCACCTGATGCTGCACACTCCCCTCCCTTTCTCCTTGTGTCCCCTGCCCCCCCTCCTCCCCCAGGCTCTAATCTCTGCCTTTCTCCGGTCCTCATGTGGGCAGCTATTTCGGGGCAGGTGCCATTGTGGGAGACAACTCGGGCCACGGGGGGGCGGGGGGGGTAGGGGGCGTGGCCCAGGGGACCAGGCTACTGTCTGGATCCTCACAAGCCAAGGGAAAGGGCACTGCGGGGCCTGGGGCCAAGCAGCCCGAAACTCAACCCTCCTCCTGTCAGCCATCCCAAAGACCTGTCATGTTCTAAGCCTGGGCCCAGGCACTCTGCTAGCCCAGGACCGTCCTGGCCCCAGTCTTCTGTCTTACTTCCTGCCTCTGACCTCAGACAAACGTGGTAAGAATGAGCCTGTGTTGGACCTCTGAAATTCATGCACCTACAGAGCGACCCTTGTGTGTGTGTGCGGGTCCTCCGCTGGGGCGAGGGCAGCCAGGGCTCCCGTCTCTGCCCGCTCTGCGTCAGCACTTAGCATCTGCCAGCTCCTCTAATCCAGGAGCCGCGTGTGGTGGACACAGACAGCATCCCTGCTTCACTGAAGCGAGGGCAGGGAGTCATGCCACAGTCCCGCAACATCCTAGGTTTGAACCCAGGACCTCAGGTCCCCAAGGCCATGCTCTTGAAACCTTGCATATTTGTTTTATTCATCTGTGTCTCTTGGGCCCTGACACAGAGCCCTGTACTAAACTTGAATTACACAAATGTTGAATAAAAGATAGGTGCTGGTGGTTCACACCTATAATGCTAGCTCCTCAGGAGGCTGAGAGCTGAGGATCGTGGTTTAAAGCCAGCCCAGGCAGGAAAGGCCATGAAACTCTTATCCCCAATAAACCACCAGAAAACCAGAAGTGGTGCTGTGGCTCAAGTGGTAGAGCACTAGCCTTGAGCTGAAGAGCACAGGGACAGTGCCCAGGCCCAGAGTTCAAGCCCCTTGCAAGGCAGGAAAGGTGACATCCTTTCATCCATCCATCCATCATCCATCTGCCATCCAGCTATTATCTCTCCATGTCTCCCTCCCTCCAGCTCCCCATCCATCATTATCACCTGCCTATCATCCATCCCACAAGCATCACAGCATATCTACTATATGTCAGCCACCAGACCACGTGCTGAGGATAACAAAGTAAAATCAAACATTTGTGTTCAAGAAAACTCCCCCAGGTCCTGGGGGAGGTAAGTCGGGGGAGTGAAAAAACCGTGGGGTTCAGTTAGTGCTGATGTTTGCGCTGCCGATGCTTCCTTGTCTCTGCGCAAGGCTTTTGCATTTATTAAAGTATTTATTCAGTGCCTCCTGGGGGAAAGATCTGCATTTCCGAGGGCTGAGCCTCCCTGGCTACCCTGGGGCTGCTCTGGCCGTGTCAACAGTCACTGCCCCATCCAAACGACTCTTTTTAGAGACATGACCCTTCTCCGGCCTGCTGAGGCCTGAGGCCTGGGGCCAGCCGCTATCAGGGACCACACGGCTGTACCCCAAACCTGAGGTCAATCGTAGCTGTTTGGACCAAGGCTGACACCTGACTAGGGGCAGCCAGTGTCTGAACGGCCAATCAGATAACCTCTTCAAACCGGGACCAGGGGCCGCAGGGGTAAGGATTGGCCAGGTGGTGGAAAAGGGACATGAAAACTGATGAAATTCACGGCCAGCTAGTGCTGGGCAAGGAGCCTCAGACGGCGCTGCCCTGCACAGCCCTGACTCCGGCCCACTCTCTGGTCCCTGTGAGGCCAGCCAATGACCATGGGAGGATTGCCACCGCTGGCCCTTCCCCCATGACCCTGGCTGCCCTTGCAGGGCATCAGATGCTGGCCAGTGAGTGAGAGGGCCTAAGGAATCTCAGGCTGCCCTTCCCAACACTCATCGCTGAGCCCACAGGCCACAAACGCCTGCCCAGCCGTAGCAGCACAAAGCACGCTAGCTAAAGGTCAGGTGGATTTCTGGGGGCTCCCAGGGAATGCACTCATTCACGTGGGCCTTTGTTCATGCATTTATTCCACAGCTCTGGACTGAGGGTCTGCTCTGTGCCAACATTTGTGGGGAAAGGCAAATTCACTGTCACAGAGGCCTGGCCTCTGGCTTTGGCACCTGCTCCTGGCTAGTGGCTGGAGGGTGGGGGTGGGGAGAGGGGACAGAAGGAAGGAGGTGCAGCCAGCTGGCCCAGGCTGGCCGAGGCTACCTGCTCTGTGTCTGCCGGGTCACCTCCTCGGCTTCCTGCCGGGATTGGCAGCGCTAGGTCCTGATTCATTTCCTCCGTTCTGTCTCTCCGGGACACAGTGTGCTGTTGAAGAGCCCTCCTGTGAGCCCCACACTGAACAAGCCCAACCAAGGGGTGAGCTGGGCAGGCGGCTCGGGTCTGCAGCCCCAGCTCTCCTCGGTCTCCAGCCTCCCCAGTTGTCTGAGTATGGAAAATCTCATCAACCCGTTAGTGATGCTCGTGTTTAATGTGACGCTATCACCGGCTTGGCAGGCGCCCCGTTAACAGGGGAGGCAGGGGGAGGGAGAGGGGGCGCTCCTGGAGACCTGTGGCTTCGAAGCTGATGAACCTTTGAAGTTCTCCCATTTAAGCTAATGGGGAGTCGCCAACATCTGTGTGTACTTACACATCACCACAACACGGCGCCTGCCTCACGGTTGCTATGGAGACCTGGCGTTCCTGCCCCTCCTCCCCCCCAGCTCTGTGTGGAGGCTGTCATTCTTGCTGTCAGCCATTGCTGAGCAGGGAGGCTGCAGATGTACCAGAAAAGCCAGACTGCCTTGGTGTGTAAAACTGCAACCTTAGATCCAAATGTCTGTACACACACACATACACACATACACACACACACACACACACGTTACTTTGACACCAAGGAGAGTAATTAAGATCCTCCCCATCAGACCTCATATCCCAGAATGCTTTTCATCCCCAAATCTGAGACTTGTTGAGTTCAGCCCCAAGTCTTCAAAGGTCTTGGGTCTGAGATCCCAGGATGAAAATTCTAGAGTGTCCAACCTTGACAGCTTTTCAGTACTCCTGAAACTTGGGTTCTGGATTCCAGGGTCATGGAGAGTTAGAGATGGAAAGAGCTAGAACTGTAGGGCCATCACACCTCAAAGCTAACGAGGCCTTCCAAGGTGTCAAATCCGGCTCCCCTTCAATGTCTGCCTCCCTGTGGGTCATCACGCGGCATCTGCTTGAATGCTGCCAGGAACAGTGAGCTCGCCACCCACAGCTGGACAAACGCTTCGTGATACGGAGCAAATGTGTACCTTCTCCCCACACCCTGGCCTGGGCTTGCCGGCTGACCAGCCATGACTGCCACACAAGGAACACCACAGGCCCCCCATAGAATACCCACCCCCCAGCCCCAAGGAGCGAGGCTAGCCGGGGGGCTTGTCCCATCTGCCCAAGAGGCAGTGGATCCCCATGGGACTTTCTCGCACATGCTGCCCAGGTGTGAGCCGGGCCGTGTCCCCCACGCCAGTCTTCTCCAGGGCCAAGAGTCCAGTCTCGCTGACCTGTGAACTGGGCAGCCGGCCTACGGCAAATCTGGGAGACTTTTCCATAGGACTTCACGGAGGGGGACCAAGGACATGGGGACACATAGAGAACTTTGGCGCCTAAAGCCAAGATCAAGGTCTTCCATCTTGATTGCCTGTCCCGTCTTCCTAGGAAAGGAGGTCTGCCCTCTTCTGTGTGTGTGTGGGGGGGGGGGGGTTCCTGCCAGAGGCCTCCCCTCCCCTCCCCCTCCCCGTCTCCCCTCCCCCCCTCCCCAGCCTGCCCAGCCTCTGCTTTCTGGCTCAGTCTTCCCTCCTGGGACAGCACCAGGCCCGGCCAGGACTTGTGTGGGGCTGGGCGTGGAGGTGGCAGGGCCTTCCAGGACTTCCACTCAGCAGGCAGGGGACCCCCCCCCAGCTCGCTCCAGCCCCCGACCTAAGCCCACCGCCCACAGCTGCTTTAGTCCAGCCCCTCAGCAGCAGCATACTGACCACGTCTCCCTTCTCCCCAGCTGTCCTCCCGGAGCGCAGCCAGGCGGCCAGGGCTGGGGGCGGGGAGGGGCGTCTTATAGGACAGCAGAAAGGCACGGAGAACTAAAAATACAGTCTCCACGCAGGCTCCTCCTTTCCCTGAAGGCCCAGGGGGCCTTATTGGAGAAGGGCTGGCAGGGACATGGGAGCCACATGCCCTGGGCAACAGGTGTGGCCTGAAAAAGCCAGCCTTCCTCCCCCTCTCCCACCCCAGCCCAGCCCCACCCCACACCTGTCACTGGGGGGCCAGGCCCCCTCCACTTGGAGGCCTGTCCCACCCCGAGACCCTCCCGGTTCCTTTTTATGGCCCCATGGGCCTTGTTTATCCTCCAGGCTCTCACAGACATAGCCTTCCCATCTCTGTGCTTCGGGGAACGGCCAGGGGGGCGGCTTCTCCCTTTCTTACTCTGTGAGGTGCTCTCAAGTAAGTTTTCTCAAAACCACCCTTTCCGTGGAATGAACAATTTAGGAGCCCCACCCTACTCAGGAAGAAATGGAGGCACTGGGAGGGCCAGAAAGCTGCCCAAAGTCGTAACTGGAGTTGGAGGCCAGAGGCCCAGCAACTTGGCTTTCACATGCCCCGCCGCGGGCCACCGTGCCAACATGCCAAATAAAGAGCCCAGCGTGGTGAAGGGCAGAGAAAGGAGATTTATTACAGGCACGGGCAGCTGCAGAGAAGACAAAGTGAGCACTTCAGGCCTCCTCCCCACCCAGAAGTGGGCTTTAGCTTGAAATAGACAAAGAATCCTGGCAGGAGTGAAAGGTAATGATTGGACAATCTGAGCAGAGGTGGCGGGTTGCTCATTGTCTCCAGGTCCTTGCTGCT